CTCTCTCTCTCTCGCACTTACACTCTCGCTCTCACGTAAGATTTAAGTACAACTTTAGTTCAAAACCCTTAACCCATAATCAACTGATGATAATCTTAAGTGGCGTAAAGTCGGTGGCAAATAATTATGAGCTGTTAATCGATAGCTAGATTTAACAATTCTTGATTACACTTATTATTTAATAATTACTTAATTAATAGGCACGTTAAGTGTATTATATTACACAAAGTAAGTTATACGCTATTCTAGATAACATACACACATAATACATGACCTTTAAATAAGCTTATTAAAAACATATATTTAAAAATTAATATGCTAATTTATAAATTATTTAATGTTTAATTTGTATATTAAATTATTAGAATTTTTAATTAATGTTATATTACGTTTCCACAATGTCTTTTATGCAAAAGATATGGCACATTATATTTTGATGCAATTACCAAGGGCCATTTGTCTTTAGTCTCGGCCGTGCAAACCCATTCAGCAACTCCATAAGCCGGATCCTTTAAAATATAATGATTTGGCTGACCTTAAATAAATTTTAAAAAATGCTATTTATTTGCTGAAATAAATAATTAATAAATAATTACCTGGTTTCAAAGTTCCGTAAACAAACACTAAAAATCTTTCTGATTTTTCAATCATTTTATTTTAAAAATTTACAAATATAAAAATTATGTTTAAATGATAAATCAATATTAAGTTAACTATTTTTAACTAAAAGTATAACAACGAAGACTATTTCAAAATGAAATTGTTTTTCACTCTTTGTCTATTAAAGCAGTAATTTTATCACAAATAAAACTAATTATCATTTAATGAGTGGAGTATTTATAATGATATAACATAAATTCTACCACATCTAATTTTTAGCGATTAATACTATAAAATAATTTAGTAAATTACGAATGAAATATGTTACCATTTTTATACGTATAATATTAGAAATTTTCTGATATTTTTTGCAAATATTTGTTTTTAGTATTTCATTGCCATTACTATAAATATTTTGTGCCGCAAAAGTGTGATATATAACTATAAACGTAGTCCAATGAAGGGAGTATTTAATTATTAACCATCACCATATCTCATCGTAAAATATTTATTATATTTTGACTATTAATATCAAAATGTTTTTATCTGTAACAATTGTCCTTAACAATAGAATTATTTGTTTACAAATAGTTTTAATATCATTTTAACCATCATTTATTTACTGCAATTGTTTTAACTAACACATGATTTAAAATATTTTATTGATTTTATGAATGTTAAAATTGTTAAAATAAATTTAATTTATTTTATAATACTACATTATATAAATATTTATCATAATTATTAAATATTTCTTTTGTTTAATCATCGATAATAAATTATCTAAAATAAACAATTTATAAAAATAATTTTTTAATACGTAACTTTTATTATAAACAGCGTGCATTTAATTTATATATAAATTATATATTTATTTTCATTATTGCTACTAAAAATCCAGATAATATATTTATACTGTATATTAATTAATAACCACCATGGTCAGTTACCATTTCTAATTAAATTACTAACAATATCAGTGTTTGGATCATATTCATCACGTTCAGGATCATGTGCCTCGTCAAATGGTAACCCATGATTGCCATAGGTATCATAGCAGTCAAAAGTATCACGGTCCAATAGCTCGGGCTTAAATTCCATGATGAAATAAACCCAAGCCTTGCATATTGTCCCATTATCTGACCGAACAATTTGTGTTTCCTTACGTTTATATAGAATTACTTTGGATTCAGCATAGTCTAAAAATTCCAGTAAACTTATATCCAGCGAATATAGTTCTCCAAAAACTTGCTAAACCAAATTATAATTATAAAATTGCCAAAATATAAATTTACTTATTAAATTAATTTATATAATGATTATTATATGAAATGAGCTTAATTTCTATTAAATTATAATGAATTATGGTCAAATACTACATTAATATTTATATAAATTATTATAAAGTTTTAAATTATTGGGAGTTTAAAACTGTAATTAAATAATGATTAGGCTGATAATATAATAATTTGCATGTGTTAAATTATTTTAATGGGTGAAAGTGGCTTAAAGAAATAATTAAAATTTTTAATAAAGAATTGTAAACAAAATACCAAGCTTACTTTCCCATATCCCTGTTTATATAACAAACACGGGATGTTGTATTTTGATGCTATAATTAATGGCCACTTGTCTACTGTATGGCCGCCGCACACGTAATCGCACCGTCCATTCGCTATATCGTTGGCCATAAAATGATGATTGGGTTGACCTGCACATTTTCACCGTGGTCAAAATAAATGGTTATTTTAATTTGCAAATATTTTTTATAAACCTTTTTTCAAAGTGCCATAAAAGAATACTAAATATCTATTCATGTTAATTTTAATAGAATAAAAATTGTGTAAATTATAAAGTGTTGCAAACTTGTTATAAATATTTATTACATTAAAAATTTAATTTATATAAAAAATTTATATACCATAAAATTTAGCTAAAACTTTATGCAATAGTCCCTAAAAGACATGAAATAAAAATTTTCGATTTTATTAGGACAGGGGTTACACAGGAATTTAAGGTATACTCTGTTTATCTGATTTATTAAAATAGCTTTTGTGTTATAGCTATCAAATATTATCTTATGACTTATGACAGATTTCAATTATTAATACTTTATTTCATTGATATATTTAATTTAGTTGTATTTGTTAGTATATTGCGTATAATAACACGTGTATATCACGTATTATAACATGTCATTTCTTTTAAGGTTTGTGACAATTTTTTTTGTAACTTTACAAAGGTAAATTTACAAAACTCTCTCTCTCTCTCTCTCTCTCTCTCTCTCTCTCTCTCTCATAGCTTTTTCCTAACTTTGTTTTATAATCAATAATTGAAAGTTTCATAACTCTNTCTCTCTCTCTCATTTATTTTGATATTAAATTATGTGAATTATATCTTGCATACAGTCAATTGATTTGTTTTATGAACTGATTAATTATTGAAATATATTTTTCTATATTAAAGTACACTAATAATACTATAACAAAATGTCCTAATGTCAAACTTGTCATCCTAATCATATTCCTTTGTCACAAAACCGTGTATTGATAACTACCTTATTTTAATAATAATATTTAATAATCAATAAATATAAAATTATATATGTGTTAATGTAAAATATTATTTAGTAAATTGTTTATTATAAAACTAAATGAAAACAAATAATAACAACTAATTTACAATAAAATCTTATTATAAAATAAAAAACTGATTAGTTTTATATTAGACTCTTTATACTGTACAGTACTATTTAGATAATTAAGTTTTCACCATAAATTAACGTAATATAATTTTAACTTTTACTACAATTATATATAAAATTTGTTATGCTGTATAAATGTAATGTGGGCATTAATGTAAAAATTAATCATGCAAAAGACACTGGTTTATTTATATATTACATTCACTATATTATAGTGGTTATTATAATAATTAAATTTAATTTTTGTGCAACATGATAAGACAGTTATATTTGTATCTATAGAATAGTAAATGATTCTAACAATTAATTGTGCTTATACAATTTACTTATGCTCACGATAAAAGCACATATGTGTATTTATTAGATTACAGTGCCAATTATGTTTAGTGAAAACAGCTCACCCTTGGTTAGTTCAATACTAGTACACAATAGTGCACAAATTTTAAGCGAATATAAAAACTAATCATGTTATTGTTTTTGATCCATTATTAATTTTTTGCAACAAAAATTAATTATCGTAAAACTACCACAATGCTTTCTCCTATTTTAAACTATCTAGTTTGTTCGGTTATAGCATTTCAAAATGATCATATAGTGCCAGATGTGCTCAATGCTTGTCCGTTAACCACAAACAAGGTAATAATTAAGTATTAACTATAATTAGCTATTGAAATATTGAATATTTCTAACATACTAAAGTGATCATGTGCATTGATAACCAATAATTAAATTTACTATTATATCAAACTAGATCACATTTTCTAATAATCTCACGGTCAACCTAGGCAACGAGCTGACTCCAACTCAAGTAAAAGACCAACCCTTGGTAGAATGGCCAGTCACTCCGGGCACACTATACACATTGGCTACAATTGATCCTGATGCGCCCAGCCGTATTAGCCCAACTATGCGCAGCGTAAAGCACTGGCTGGTAGTCAACATACCTGACGCTAATATAACTGCTGGCGATATATTGGCCGGATTTATAGGTTCGGGTCCGGGCAAAGGGTCGGGTCTTCACCGGTATATTACCCTAATATACAAACAGACCAATCGTATTAAGGGTCTCGTGCGAAATGATACCATTCCTAGTAGGTTGGGTTTTAATATGACCAAGTTTGCTCTGGATCATAAGCTTGGTGAACCCGTGTCGGGTAATTTTTATCACGCTCAATGGGACGAGTATGTGGATGAGCGTGATAATGATCGGGCCTTTAGAGATGATGGTATTGTACCCGATGTGATCGATGCCAGTCCCAAAGGTCGGATTGAAGTAAGTAGAAAGTGTGATTTGTATTGTTATTTTAACTGGTGTTTATTTCATATAAAGTTTAGTATATTACAGTATTGAGTTTTAAGGGTAAAATAAGTTTATTGTAAATAAGCACCTTTTATATAATAAAATATTTTTAGTATTAGTAAAGCATTTATCATAATAAAGAAAATGCTGTAATTTTTACCACATTGAAAGTTTTAAATATACAATTAAAGAGCTATTGAAATATAAAGGTATAAAATATTGCAAAATTTTTATATAAATTAGATTATTTAAGTTTATTTATTATTTTAAAATGCCTTAATAAAATTTTGTAATATAAAAAATTTACTCCCAATTTCTGCCAATCTAGGTTACATTTGCAAATAACATAACGGTCAATTTGGGCACTCAGCTCACACCAGCTCAAACTAGCCAACAACCATTGGTAGAGTGGCAAACAGTAAAATGCGCGCTCTACACCCTGGCACTAGTAGACCCGGATGCGCCCAGTCGTGTTGACCCCATATATCGCAATTGGCGACACTGGCTAGTAATGAACATACCGGGCAAACAGATTAGTTATGGTAATATTATATCGGCATTTGAAGGACCGGCACCACCGGCGGGCACGGGTTACCATCGTTACGTGTTTTTGGTTTACGAACAAAAGCAGGGTTATATTGAACCGCCACCTCGCGATGATGTAAATAGGCAACGTTTTAGCATAGAGGAATTTGCCACTAATTATACATTGGGTGAACCGGTGGCTGGAAATTATTTTTTGGCCAACATTAATTTACATTTTTAACAAACAATAATTTTAATTATTTGGTTTGTGTGTCTAAATATATTTAATAATTTAAAAAGTATTAAAACTTTTAGACAAAATAGCATCATCATAATATTTTATTAATATCAAATATTTTTGGACTTAACATTCATAATATAACACAATTAAATATAATAATCTACGTGATAAAAGTTATAGCATATTTACTTTATTAATAAATTGAATAAATAAAATTACAATAATTTTAAACAGTTTAACTTAATTTAAATAAAATACTTATTAATTGTAGATTAATATCATGTCTACAATAATCAAATAGACATTTAATTAGTTTTTATTAAATTTAAATTTAAGAGAAAGCGACCTTGTTTATGTCTACTAATTATAATAATTGTGTTTAACATTTGATACGATTTATGAGCCATTGTGTTAATTGATGAAGCAGTAAAAATAACCAAGCTAAAACCAATAAATGCTGCCATGGTAAAGTAGATCATTAGCAAACGCAGTATTAAAACAAGCTTGGTGAATAATAAAATATACAAACTAATAATAATTGTAAACCCGAAACAAAACCAAAACACTAATAGATATTTAGACCAATCAGTTGTGTTGTATTCATTAATTTCGCGATAAATGTTATTGAGTTTTCGCATTAATAGCAGAATATTCTGTGAATTTATATTAGTTTTACATATTTTGTTGTGAATTGTAATAACTTTCAATTTAAAATAGTTGCATAATATATAAAAATATGTTGACATCCATATCGAATATGAAAATATATTATATGTGGCTAATAAATACAACAAACCGTTAGGTATGTCGTACTGGAAATTACTCATTAGTATTTTCAGTAACTATTCATTAGTTTTTCATAAATAATTTTGATATTTAATATATTTTCTAATCAATGACTTGTTTTTCCAATAACTAATTCTCAGTACTTTTCCACAAATTAATGTTTAGCCAATTATAATGATTTGTTTGATATTCACTTTGAGTGAAAAGCACTGCTATATAAGCAGCGCATATTGTATTGCAATCTAGTTCTCAATTATACCTCAAACATACTGTTCAATAAAATAATTATTTAGTTATTAAAACAATGCCTTTGTTTTGTAATTTTGTCTTAGCCTACAAATTGGCC